CCACACCCACACCCACACCCACCCCCACCCCCACACCCACACCCACAGCCACAGCCACACCCACACCCGCACGCACACCCACCCACCCACACCCCACACCCACACCCACCCACAGCGACACCCACCCACACCCACACCCACACCTCACACTCACATCCACACCCACATTCACACCCCACCCCAGTTGTCCAATCTACAGGACAGCAACAACATCGATCGTCTTATGCTTATATCCATCTACTTCAACAACCAACGCTGAACTCCAATTATCTGCAACAGGTCTGCTCATACATTAGTTAGGGCTCCTTTTTCTTACATAACTTTACTTCTTTTAAAAACACACTTCCATCTTCCGATAATTTTTTTATTTATACCAAACAATTAATACATGTAGCATCCGTTTTCCATTCTAGAAACGAACAAAATGCAACTTCACACATGCATAAATCAATACCTTAATGCGCCAAGTGGAATCCTAAGATTTTGGTAACTGTTCTCACCACAGCGTCAGGATATTATTAATGTATATGATCTTTCGAGATATATACATCAGTAATAATTTGATCTTGTGATTAACTTCAATTGAATCATTAAGATTATTTGCCGTCTGATGATCTGCTTAGCCGCAGTGAAATCTATAGATCACGGTAGCTATTCTCGCCCTCAAAAATAGGTTTTTCAAGGTTTTCAAGCGGAATATCGATGTTGTTTTTGGACTTTTGTCCATAAAAGGTAGATTTTCAGGTCCGCAAATGGTCTCAGTAGATAAAGGCCATTAAGATCTATATCCAGTCGCACAAAATAAAAAGTCGAAAAATTTTTATCCGGAAGGGAGTCCCTTAAGGAATTTAGTAACAGAAATCTGAAAGGCATCCAGTTTTCAGTATTTAATAGAAGCGAACGTTTGATATTGTCTGATAGAGAAATTTTATTTTCCAAAGAGATCTGTAATAAACACGCGATTTATCCTACTTTGGTCGAAAGGTAAAAATGTCGAAAGAAAAATACCGGAAGTGAAAAATATCGAAAAATAAAAATGTCGAAAAGTAAAAATATCGAAAGAAAAAAGTGGAAAGTAAAAATGTCGAAAATCTAAAACGTCGAAATGTAAAAATGTCGAAGTCTCAAGTAAAAAGATATATAGTAAAATTGTCGAAACATATTTCCCTATGGCAGTTTTCAAACAGTTATCATTCAATGGTCCGTTGGTGCATCAAACAAATAATAATACACGGACAACATTTAAGCAAAATCGCCTCAACATTCTTTATGGTCGATATAATGATGCGGTCATTAGCTCATCAAATCTTTCTGACTTATCGTATCTTGTTGGAATAAAAAAAGTAGATATGATGCATATAGAGAACTCAAATTAGTTTGTTCATTAAAGTTCTTCCCGTTAGTCACTGTTGCACTTTATAAAGACAAATTTTTCTTATGAACTTAAATTTTATAAATGAAATAAACATATTGAATTTTTTATCATTAATCGAATCATAATTTAAATTGTTTCGATGATTTGATAACTCGGCATTATTATCCATCGACATTTTCTTTTTCGATATTTCTATGAGCGACATTTTTACTTTTCGAGTTTTAACTTTCGACATTCTTATCGTTCGACATTTTTACCATATTTTTTTCGACATTTTTACCGTTCGATATATTTTTTTTCGATCAAAGTAGGATTTACCAAACACGCTTGACAAAATAAATGAGCTATCAGTTTTCGATGAAGCAGTAGGTTTTTTAATTGAAATATGGCTATTTGAAAGCCAAGATATTGCTCTACAATTCAGAAATTTTAGGCAAGTCCAGCTGCTCTGTTGTTTCCAGTAACACTTCCTATGTAACATTGAGTATCATATTAGGTACGTCGAAAGTTTGGTCATCGCAAATAATAATATCATAAACATTTTTGTAGACTTCTAATTTTGATGGAGTACTATGATTTAAATAACCAATTTTAAGTATGTGTTTTAAATTTTTCATTCCAGCTGTCATTCCTACATCTCCAACAGCATCACCTAAAAGAATAACATTTGGACGGTTAAGAATTGATTGATAATAAGGTGTATCATGAATTTCGTGTTCATTTTTATTCAATGGGTGAACAAGGTTTTTACTAAAGGCTATTAATTTTCCGTTAGCATCAAATTCAATAGAATTAGAAACAATATGTGATGATTCATGATTATGTTTGAATTCTGGAATTTCTTTTCGAAGAAATATTTCGATAATATCACCTGAAAATTTAAATTGCTATTTAGAATATACAGTAAATAAAAAATTTTTTACCTAGACCAGCTGAAAAAATAAGAATAGGAGTTTGACTGCGTAATAACTCCGTAATAAATTCTCGTACACCTTTTCTTAATTCCATTTTTGAATGATGAACTAACTCTTGTAACATCGTTTGATTAAGATTTGACGAAAGAATCAAAGAATGAACTTGATGATACCATTTGACCATATGAGGAATTTTTTCTTCAATACTCATCTCAGAATCATTTGCAATCGGATAATATTGTAAAAGTAATTGATTTGCATGATCACCATATGTTGAGTCATCAGGTAACTAAATAGAAACCTATGATAGTGACATTTTTGGACTTAATATTTCTAATTGAAATTTTATTTTTGATACAAAAGTATTTGGAAAATTCTTACTTTAACTCGCTGATCATTCTCAATAATTGCATAGGTTGTTGGTAAAGTCTCTCCATCTTTTTCATACATAGTTAATGTAAAATCAAAATCAGCTACAATGTGTAACATTTTCCGTCCATCACGAATTAATGAATGAATTGTTTGTTCAACAAAATCTCGTTTATCTTCATGAATATGAACATGTTTATTTTCTTTCAAAAGTTTCTCAATAAAGCTCATTTTATCTAAAAATTACAAACTAAACATCATCGAATTTTTTCTTATTTGGGTGAATCCATGGAGACCAAACCACTTTTTTGGAAGTTGTTTTTGAATTTTTTTCGTCCAAATGCCGGTAGGCTCTAGAAAACACTTTTGAGGGAAAAAATCAGCCCATTCCTATTGAAAATCTGGAGTTCTGGGTCATTTTCTCTGACGAGGCAACTGCCTGATGTGGCACCCACCCTTTGAGCTCATATTGGGCCCGCGGGAAGGTCTCAGTAGGACCAGCAGAAGCCTAAATGGATTTATCTCCATGAACCTTTCGAGGTGAGTTATCACGTTTTTACTGAATTTTTGACCATTTCTTTGATATTGAGCAAAAAAACCAAACGACGTAATTGTGACCTGGAATTTCTGGGATATTCTAAAGATGATTAGACCTATCTATGTCCAAAATTTCAGGTCAAAACTACGCTCTTTGATTTTTTCCTCAATATCAAAGAAATGACCAAAAATTGAGTAAAAACGCCATAACTCACCATCAAAGGCTCATGGGGAGAAATCCTTTTAGGCTTTTGCTGGTCCCACTGTGACCTTCTCGCGTGCCCAATATGAGCTCAAACCGCGGGTGTCACCTCAGGTGGTTCCCTTGTGAATACACCGATGAGCATAGTTCGGCAGCATCAGTCATAACCAATTAATCATCTCTCAGAACATCTAAATTGATGTGAAGGATTTTCCCCTCTTTATCATAGAGCACAGCAACCATAATCAAAATATGCTCTCAGAGGAGTGCCGAACTGATGGTTTTGCCCAAGTAACTCGAAAGTAGAGACTTGCGCGTTTATGTTTTTCTGGACCCGGATCCGCATTCGGACCTGGTCGGGTAGAGACCTGATGTTTTTTTATTAATATCTAATACCGTTTTTGCATACGTGAACAGATAAAGGCACAAGGTTTTAGCTCTTTAGTGACCTATTTTAAAAAGAGTCGATGTACAATTATTTCTCGTTCATTTTCTCACTACTGAATAGTCGTTCAGTTCAAACCTAATACAAACCGAGTCTGAAGTTAAACATACGAGGGAACATTCCCAACTGCCAAATCGCTTTTTCAATGAAAGCTACGGGATTAAAGGTTATCGACTATGCTGATTCCGAATATGAGTATAAGAAATGCCCTTAGGCCTTTATATAGTGGTTTTCTAGAAAACCAGCTTTCCAGAATACTCAACTTTTTACTAAATGTTGTTTTTGATCTGCTCAGATTATAGAGCACGTCGAATTGTCTGTAAAATCAAATCTGTTTCTATTTCAAATCCATGGGATGGTAAATTCCAATTTCATGGAAATTCAAATAAAATAGTTATAACATAAATTTCCTGGAAATTCAATTCATTGCATTAGTAACAGGCATCGCCTATCACTAATATCTAATATATATATAGACATACGGCGATAAAGTGTAATTCTTGAGTTTGGGTTAGGTCGGGTTGGGTTAAGATGTATTGGGAAATTCATTTTGGTATAGGAAATGATATACATATCAGAGATGAGCACAGGACAAGATTTTTTGTCCTGTCCTGCCCTGTCCTGATAGTCGGTTCTGTCCTGGCGGGCGGCAGGACAGGACAAAAATCAAAATCGCGTTCTGTCCTGTTGACAATCTCTGTCCTGGCGGGCGGCAGGACAGGACAAAAATCAAAATCGCGTCCTGTCCTGTTGACAATATCTGTCCTGGCGGGCGGCAGGACAGGACAAAAATCAAGATCGCGTCCTGTCCTGCTGACTTTTTGTGTCCCGATGGGTGATAGGATAATACATGAAAACTTTGTCCTAGTTTGTTTTGCTAATTCATTCCTCTTTTTTCGAACGGCAGTGAGTCGGTGATGAGAGTTGTTAATCTGACTATCGTTGATCAGGGATGTGCGAACAAGGGGATAGGGGGTCCGGATCCTCCCACTTTTGAAAAGTAGTGGATTGATACGGTAAAACTGTACTAGAGCGTTTATTTTAAAATCTCAATGTAAGAAATTTGTCCTGAGGGGAAGTACAGAGATCTATACTTAGGATCTTCCAATTTTTTTCTTTGGACACATCCCTATCGTTGATCAAATCAAATATTACTATTATTTACGTTAGACCTAATTTATCGTTTATTATCCTCAAATACAAGAAATACACTCTAGATCATCACTTATTTGATAAGTACAAAAAAATATAGCAAAATCTTAATTTTATATCTTGATAGCACATTCATGACAAGAAAAAAATACAGAAAAAAGGAACATAATTCATTGTAATACCATTATCTTATTTTGTACTAGATAGTATCTATGAAAAGTAACAACAGCTTACGCTATGATCACAAAAAACAACCATTTTCATGAATAAATGTACTATAATAATTGAAACAACTAATATATCCTGACATTCTTTCAACTATACTATGTTCAGCTAATATTTTCATGGATAACGAAAGGCTCCCGACAAACCTATTAATGGTGTTGAGGATTTTTTTTTTTACAGAACATTATATTTATGAGTTTCATATGTAGATAATTGTCAAATTTTGAGAAGTTTAATGTGTTCGACGATGATGAAATTTCACTACTGCTCATGCTGAATATTTATTTTGAGAGTCAATAAATCGAAACATAAAATACAAAGTAAAATAAAACATATTCATGGCGAAAAAAAACAAAGAACACTTGTTTCGTGTTGCTTTCTGTTTGTATTGTCACTGAAAGTTTCTGAGTCATGAATGATTACGTCTAATTGGTAGCTTTTTTTTCAACGCATATTTGAATTAGTGTTATGACTCATTCTCATAGCGATATCTATCGCTCACAACACACGTCGAGTGTTAAAAAGTGACACGTCGAAAATGACAGTCGTTTAAAAAAAATATCAATAACAATAGAACGAGAAAGTTCAAACGAGAAATTTTTCTGTCCTGTTCCGTCCTGTTCGAATCGCTATCTTTGTCCTGGCGGGCGGCAGGATAGGACAAAAATCAAAATCGCGTCCTGTCCTACAGGACAGGACACCAGGACAGCAGGACCGTCCTGTCCTGTGCTCATCTCTGATACATATATACTATACTATTCAATCCTGGGTTATGTTGGATTGGGTTGGGTTGCGTTGCGTTAAGATGTATTGGGAAATTCGTTTTGATATAGGAAATGATATACTATAGTTTTCAATCTTGGGTTGGATTGGATTGAGTTACGATCAGAAATAAATTGTAATCAATGTAAAATGCATATATAGTGTATCCACTAACGAGGAAACCATCCGAGATGTTACTCTCCGCTTTGACTCGTTCATATCTCGTTTGATAGAGTATATTGAGTTAGTAAAAAGCCTAAAAGGTTTTTTCCTCAATGCTCTTCGTTCAAAAGTTGCAACCCTTTTACTGCATTTTTGACCTATTCCTATGTATTTAGCGAAAAAATTAAACTATGGAATTTTGACGTGAAATTTTGCCCACATATAGCTGCAATGGTCCTTAGGATATCCTGAAAGTTTCAGCCAGAACGAATGGTTCTTTCTGAAGATATTCAATTTTCAAAAAATAGCCGTTTACTTCAGACAGCTCACAAAAAATGAGTTGACTTGAAAATTGAATATCTTCAGAAAGAATCATTCATTCTGGCTGAAACTTTCAGAATGTTCTAGGGATCATTGGAGCTATATGTGTGCAAAATTTCACGTCAAAATTCCACAGTTTAATTTTTTCGCTAAATACATAGGAATAGGTCAAAAATGCAGTAAAAGGGTTGCAACTTTTGAACGAAGAGCATTGAGGAAAAAATCTTTTAGGCTTTTGGGTGTGTCCATGGGAAGTCGCCAGTCAATATGGCGATCTCCTCCAAATCTAATGAAACTTTCGAAGTTTGTAGAGCTTTTTACGCTGATCATTTTGATAGTAAAATTTTTAAATTTTTATCGAATTTTCATTGAGATATAGGCAAAATACTTTTACTACATTTTTGTATTTTTTTTGCAAAAACTCAAATCGGAATAGCATCGAAAAATTGATGATATGTCATCATCTATCACTCGAATCATCAAACCAATTACATATTCTGATTCCCTGTGAGAAACTACATCAGAATCTGTAGAAATTAATAGAATTTTGATAGACTTTTCTGGGATTCCTTTCTTCACTATATCAAGTAATATTTAATGAAAGTGTTTGAAAAATTTGATCAGAAAAGTGGAATAAACCAGGATATTGGCACAGACAGTGTTTCTAATGGAAATCTGAAACAAGATGTACAGTGCACTTTGTTTTGTAAGGGCAAAGTGTATAAGTACATTTTGTTTCCATAGGCAAAGTGTACCGAAATGTACAAAAAGGAAGTTCCGTACAATGTAAAGAAATGAAACATTACGGGTGGTGCAATAGTTCTGCATTAATTTTATTTTTCAGTTTCATATGCGCACAAGTATCCTAGACGAGTTAATGGGGAATTTGGTTTTGCGGCAAATTCAAATTCATCGAAACATTTCAGTCAAAACGCAACCAGGGTATAAGTATCAGCAACAACCGATATATGTGACTTACGGACCGAGTCATACAACGGTATCCAACGATATTTGGGCAACGGTATAAGATATTGCAATAGCGGTATAGCGGCATAGGATTTTGTCACCGCAATATAGTGATATAGGATTTTGCCATAGAGGTATTGCGGTATAAGATATTGCTATATCACTATATCGCTATGGCCAGATCCTATGTCGCTAAAGCCCTACGGCAAAATCCTATACCATTATACCGCTATACCCAAGGGAGAAAAGGCGTGACTCCAAGAGTGCGTACCCCACTGAGATTCCATCGGCACTCCACTGAGACTCCATGGAACTCCACGGGGGCTCCAAATTTTTTTTGGAGTATATAAAGTCTCACTGCTTTTCTTCTTAGAAAAACGGCTCTTTATGAGTAATTCGGGACGAAAAGATTAAATTTGAACTCTTCGCCTCGAATTACCCCTAAAGAGTCGTTTTTCC